GTGAAAAACACCCTGGACAATGGGATGTGGAAGGAGACAGGTCCTAACTTGCATTCCCTCTTACAGAAGAGTGACAGCATTCATGCATACAGTCCAACCACGAGGCCACACGGATCAGCGATTCTCAACTCTGTTTTGCCAACTACCCTACAAACCCCATATTCTACAATCCTGTGCTGCCGCAAGCTGCATCTGTGCCATGAGGGATGTCTTCTAGGAAGTCTATGGTCAGTCTCCCCTTCCTTTTAACCACACACAGTCACTAGTGCCAAAAAGCTGGGAAATGCCCCTAGAAACAGAAAAAATGTACACAAACCTGGATGGGGCAATTGGCAGAGAGGGGATGAGTAACAGGAGGGGAACTGAGGCAGAATCCACAAGAATGGGAGGAAAAAGAGCAGCTACTGTCCCCTTCCTTGGCTTCTGTTGATGACCAGTGACTCACAGCAAAATCCCTGTCTCCAAAGGTGGAGCAATACTGCTCGGCTCAGAGTGGACCCTGCAGTATCACAAAGACCAACGAGGTTGCCTACATCCCACTGCTACCCCAGGGAACTCTAGGAGGTAGTACTGAAACTGATACACATGGACCTATGCCCCAAAAGGCCTGCTCCTCTCTGTCTCTGTCTTTCTTTCTGTCTCCCTCTGTCTCTTGAAAAGATACCAGCATTCAAGATACCAGCAGAAGCAACAGGGGAATACAAAACAACAATGCTGGACAGATGCCTTCTCTCCTCAATGTATTGTCCTCTTTGTCTTTGCATCAGTGTATATAGTTGTAGGACTGATGAGTTTTCATTTTTGGTGATTAATCCCACAGCCCGCCCTGACTCTTAGGTGGCTGCACTGCTTGAATCAGAATGTCACAGTCTGGAGAAGAATGAGCGAACAAGAAACATGGGAGAACATCACAGGTACTTCAAGGGTTGAGACTTGGAGTTTAGAAAAGAGGTGATGGTGGGAAAAATCATGAGGGAAAGTGCCTTCTCTTAACCAGAGAAGATAGGGCTTAAAAAGGGATCAAATGCCAGCTAAGGGCCATGAAAAATAGATTCTGCTGGGTTAGTGAGCATTTTCCAAAGGAAGCCAGCAAACAGCTAGAGGGCCTTTCCACATTGATCAAAATACCTAAGTATCACTAAGCATATGGTAGATCTATTTTTAAGCTTTCTGTCCACCTCTGAGGGCAAGTAGAAGAGATAATTTTATTTCATCATGAACCTAAGGTCATTACACATACTGCCCAGGGAATGATCTGCAAGGGATGGTCATGTGTAGTGACTCTAAGCTACAGGTCCATGACCTGGTCCTTTATCTTAAAGCTACTGCAATCTCCTCAGCGCAGCCACAGAAGGTCCTACTTTAATCCTTTGTGGCCTAAGCAGGAAGTCACATTGAAATAACGGACTAAATGGAAGCTGTGGATATTTAGGCTAGGTGTCAGGGAAGAAAATCCTTTCTACTGGCAAGGACAGCAAAACAACCTGGAATAGATTGCCTAAGGCAACGTGAAGGCTAGACAAGTATCTGGCAGGCATGGCACTGCCTCTGGTCAGGAGGATGGGTGAGTCTCAGTCTGGTTTTCTATTACTTAGTGAGTGACCAAACCAGCAGATGCAAACACTTTTTAATAGCCCCCCTTGCTCAAGCCAGAGGAAGTGTGATTTCTTTATTTCTTTCTCTCCCTCCTTCATTCTTTCTCAAGGTTCATATGCTTAGGAGAAGAAACTGTACTTTAAATCTGGCCTGTGAATGAAGGTCCATGTGCAAACCTCTAAAAACCCACCTGAAGACCTTGTTAGTCACACAGAACAGAGTGTGGAAATTTGCCCAAGTGGATGTTTGCTTAACCTAGCACACAGGATTATCTACAGTGGTGTTCCTTGACTGGTGATCCAGAGAGCTCTGGGGCCCATAAATCATCAGGTGGTCCACAAGCCCAAAGCACACACATGACCAAGTAAATACACATCCCCTGGATGCTGTGGCACCATTTTGCTCGTGGTGTTCGAGCTCCCCCTCACTCTGCCTGCACGCCCTCCCCAGTTTGGTTCTCTGAGCAAGAGCAGTTGAAAAGCACGGACCTAAAGTTCCCCTGAGGATGGCTCCAACCACCCACATCAGCAGAATGAAAAGAGTGGTGCGTGAGGAAGAGGCAGTCAACAGAGGTTTCTCTGTTTCTTTGTATTTAAGACACAAAAGAGAACTGCAGGACTGGATGGTAATCTGGAGCAGACAGGCATGGTTTCACTGGAGGTGACTTTTCGTGGACTACACAACTGTCGACAATTCAGGAGATCTGGAGATCCTGTCTGGACTTCCTCCCCATTTCTTAGCACAAAAAGACAAAAACCTGAAGGCTGCTGAAGTTAACAACTAGGTGAACAGCACAGGGGACAGATGTCAGATTTGTGGATCATATTGTAAAGGGAAAGTGACCCCCTGACAGCAAACAAATGCACACTCTGTAAGCCAGGCTGGCTGGGCGAGTCAGGTTAAATAAGCAACCAAAAGCACGTTCAGCACAAAACCATGATATAAAGAACAACATTAACCAAAGCAGAGGCTGTAAGAAGATGACCCTTTTCAGATGCCTATATGCCAATTACAAGCGTCTGAAAAAATGGATAAACCCTCTGCCTGCATAGTAGCAATGCAAAATAATACTCCTGAAAAATAATAGCTACATTTAGATTATTAGACTATTAAAAGAAACAGTTGTAGCCAATTTAAGAAGTCCAAATGGAAGAGGGGAGTTGACAGGCCCTACATATCACAAATGACGTCTGTCCGAGTGACTGATGACTTGGAAGTAAGTAATCTTGGATATTTATGAATCAAGATACACCCAAGGTGGGGTATTAGTTGGTATCTGTTACAGACCATTGGAATCACTGCAGAGCACAGGATGATGGGCTTCTTCAACACCTATATACAAGTATAAAAAGCCCCCTTGTGTTATTTATGCTGGAGACCTTATGTCACTAGCACTAAAACACGCCTGTACTTTCCAAAAGGCTACTAATGACAAGTTACTAACTCCTGATTGAAAGGAATGATCAGCCTTCCTAACCCTGTGAACTAAAGCTCTTGCCAATTAGCAAAATGAGTCATATACAATATAGGCCTTGCAGCATCAAAGGGAACAGAGAATTCAGGAGCAGTTCACAGCACGATGACCACAACGTGAAGAAGAGCTTGTGGGACGTAGCTAAACTCCACCGCACACAGCTAAACCCCACAGTGGTCACCCTACCACGCCACGCACAGCAGAACCTGTTGACTTGCTCCCTGCCCCAGCCAGGGACGGCAAACACAGGCAGGAGCTGCAGTGCCGGCACGAGCACAACTTACCGCTGGTTGTACGATGTAGATACACCTGAACTGCCTGAAAAGGACCAACACTTTCTGTGCAGGTAACTGACGTCTGCGATCAAATCCAGACTAGTAAAATTTTATGCAGTATGTGAACATGTGCTCTTCATACATACGTAAATTAAAATCATGCTGTGTGCTTTCTGAGAGGCAATTTCACAAAACTATAGTGGATGGGAGTCAAATCAGGCTAAAGACAGAACGTACAGAAAGTTGCTGACATCTGTGAATGGTTTAAGACATTTCCTAAATGCCTACAGTGTTACAACCATGAAAAGAAGACTGGGCTAGATAAAAATAACACACAACAAAAAACCCCAACAGCTGGGTTTACCAGGGAAGTGAAAAAACATATAAAATGTTATGTACAAAACCAATAAGTGAAGGGGGAAAGGGCAAAAGAGCTAAAAAAAGCTAAAAAATAAAAAAAGACTGTATAGAGGACACAAGAAGATACTAGGAAAAATTAAGGCAGATAGAATCAGAGATATATAATTTTTTGTTTTTCTAAAGAGATCATGAAAGATGAATCCTAAACAATAAAAGTGGTAGGATTGTTCATAACAATATGACAGTGGCAGAAGTTATTCAATAAATATTTCTGATTAGCACACAGCTAAAAGGCCAGATGATCTGTTTATGATGACGAGGAAATAACTTCCCACCACAGCAGCCCTTGGAGAGGGTACGCTAAGCAGCAGATACACAGTTCAAGGTGTTTCAGATTAGTTGCTAGAAATAAACTTGTCTCAGAAGGTTTTAGAGAGCTAGCCTTGGAGCTGCTACTGCTGCCTCTAAAGCAGTTCTGGGCCCCTGGGGAAGGAGCAGGGGCAGGAGGAAGTCTCATGTTGGGCCACTGTTTAAGAAGGGTAGAAAGTAATTACAGGCCAGTTAGCTGAGTTTCCAGTATTTTGCATAGGATAGAACAACCAACGTAGGACTCAATTAATTAAAATATTAAAAAAAAAAAAAAAAAAAGCTCTATAATTAAAGTCAATCAACTTGGCTTTAAGGAAAACAGATCCTGTCAAACTAATCTGATGTCATTTCTTGCAAAAATTACAAGTTCAATTGACGAAGGCAGCGTTGCTGACAGTATTACAAGTCTTAAGTCATTTGACTTGTTCTGTAGAACATCTTTATGGAGAAACTGAATGCTTTGAAGCTTGTATGGAGTGTCTCCATCTGTACATGGAGAGCAGGACTCCATAGGTGGGGATCACTGTATGAGGCCAGGCAAAAATCTCAAACATATTTTAAACTGAAGTCACTTTTAAGCCCACAATCTTATTAAATGTATTAAAAAGTTGATAAATGGAGGAAGCCAAAGTGTAACTGTAAATGGGAAACTATTTATTAGCAAACAGATGGGTTCCTATTGGTTTTCCACAGGTGTTGGTGATCATCCCTTTACTATTTAATAGCCTTATCAGTGACTTGGATTAAAGTTAAGTCATTGTGGTTAGATACAAGACTGGGGACAGCAAAAAAAAAAAACCAACGAAAGGGCAAGCCTGACACAGAGCAACTGGGATCTGTAGAAAGATGGGAGAGACCAGCTTAGGTGTTAATATGGACAACTGCAGAATCACCTTATTAGAATAAAGAATACAGGCCGTACTTACAGGATGAGAGGGAGAGAGAGGACTCTATCCTCCAAAGCAGAGACTGAATATGAGACCGGGGGTCCTGGGAGGCAATCAGCTTGGCATAGATTCCCCACACAAGGCTGTGGCCAAAAGGGCTAATGCGAGCCTCAGCTGTACAAACAGATGAAAATCAAAAGATGAGTAGGTAGGTTACGGTGATGCTGTATTTGGCTCTCATTCCTCTGCTCCGTGAATAATGTATTAGGTTCTGCTGCTCCAGTTTTCAAATAAAGTGTTGGAAAAATTGGAAGAGTGTTCAGGGGAGAGAGATTAAAGAGCTGAAAACACTGGGTAGCAGAAGGTTTTGCTATAAACAAAAAGCTTAAAGGGAATTTTGTTATTTTGTTCACAGTACAGGAATATTCGTATGGGGAATAAATTTGATAAGAGCAGGCTCTAATCTAGCAAAGGTGGAACACGCACTGGAACTGGAAACTAAATCCAATCCAGATTGTGAACAGGCAATTTTGTTTTGCTTTTTCAGCAATGATCTGTTATGGGCAATTAACCAGTAATTAACCCTTTACACCACGGGTTGTGATGTACTGTCCATCTCTGCAAAGTTGTGAAAATAACCGTGCTTGATCTGAAAAGGACGCACACCCATGCAGCTTGGGTTATTAGGCAGGAAGCAGGAGCTCCTTCGGGTGAGATCCACTGCCTGCATAAAGCTGGAGGTCAGGCGGGTGGTCGCTGCATCAGACAGCGCTTTGTGTTTCCATTAAGAAACACAGCCTCCCCTCTCAGGGTAGTAAACCTGGCAGCCTTCCTGCTCATGGCCTACAAAATATCTCCAGAGGAAACCCCAAACTTTTGGGGTTGAGGTGCCATCTAAGTACGGATGACACCCAACTGTCCATCTTCTGCAGGACGTGCAGGCAGCCGTCTCTGAATTCCCAGCACCTGGTTCCGCACAAAACCTCACTGTGCAAAGCTCCTCATACTGAGATGCCAAGGAAACAACTTTTAGGAAACTGATGGGGGTTATTACAGCTCTTGCTGCTGAGAGAGTATCTGCGACTCCTTGCTTCAGCAATTCACTTCATCTGCTACCTGCTGCTGGGATCTCATCCCAGGGATCTGCCTGGGATTCCATCCCAGGATCTCCTAGCCACAGAGGGTGACCTCAGAGAATTAGGCTCAGGGAAGGAGTCCTCCATACCTCACAGATATTTCCTCTCCCAACTTCACCCTTTCAGGATGAACTGATGGACTAGCTACCTTCTTCAGGAAAACGAGTTAGTGCCTTTAAGCGGGGTGGGTGGACGTGAGCACCGCTCCCGCAGGCACCTCCCAGCTCACTCGGGATATCCACAGGTTTTCTCCTTCCCCTCACCCTGCTGAGGGAACTGGGTGCTGCCAAGAAAGCTTTTGGCTCTGCGTCCCAAGGGTGAGGTCTGGCAGGTGGGCTCCTAAGGACCATGTGCTCAGTGGGGTGCCCTGGCTGCTGAATTTTCTTCATCCCACAGCCTGCCAATATTTAAGTTTGGTGGTTTTTTTAAGGACACAGTGCAAGCTTTTTTGTCCGTGCTGTCTGTCTTAACCTGGGCCTTTGGCCAGAAAGTATTAATCCTGTCAATGTGCAGGAGTGGTGAAGGCTGGGGAGTGTTTGATTTGTGCCCGTTGCTGGCATCAGCTCATTTTAAGCTTCTGGAATGAACGCACTTATGACTGAATGCTGCAGTGTAAATTCTGCAAATAAAACAGATAAAATAATCTCAATTACTTGAGCTCAGCATTGGTTCACATATGCCACTCCAAAGATTTAGAAGGCATTATTTCATACAAACATTTAATTATATGCAATTATGATTCTACAGATATTTTTCTGTTCAACAGGTGGGAAAAAATGTGTTTTTCAAACTTTCCATCACTTTCATTAAGTGATATCTGCTAAAACACAGCATACATAGCATAGTAAAATCTTGGTGCTATGTTACAAACATAAAAGAAACATCCCATCTTAAGTAAACTACTGTAGTACAAAACTTCTGCAAGTGAACTAAAGCAAGAAATCTTGTGAAAATTTTAGGGAGGAAAAAGGCCTGTCCAAGTGTGTGTATATATATGTGCACATGCATTCACACACACCCCACCACCTGGTCTCTGCTATACCTGGTATTCCTATCAACAGATCTCAAGACTCAAAACAGTGAGCGGCAACTCCTTAGTCACTAGAAGAGCAAGAGTTTTGGGAAAGCTGATCAAAAGCAAGGTTTCAGAGCTACTAAGAGAAGATGAATCAGAGCCTGCTAAAGTACAGTTTGAATTGTGCATTTTTGCATCTTAATACTTTCTGTCCTCCTTGATGCATTTTTCTCGCTCTTCCTTTGGCACAACCCCAGCTATACCCTACAGGATTAGGATATTCTGTTAAACATGTATGCAACTGTGTTTTTAAGCCTTGTAAAGGCTTGCTTATGTCAAAAGATGTACCATTACAAAGATCACATAGGCTAGAATCCACAAATTTATTTTTACAAATGAAGTAACTGCGGTTATCTCCCTAAACATAAGTGATAGAAACTACATAGAAGCAAACAGCTTTAATACATGGATTTAAAAAATCTTTTTTGAAATACTAAGAAATAAGTCAGATGCGAGGCTCGTCCTTTTACTCCAGACACACAAAGAAAGAATTAAATGGGAGAATGTGAGACTAACCACCCCATCTGCCTTTGTAAGTCAGCCAGACCAGATGCAGAAATGCTATGGAAGTTAATGCAATGAACCCCAGAAGTGTCACTTTCACAAATCTCAAGAGGCATCATTGACCTGAGGCTGGCTGCAGTTTCTGCCCCAATTCCAGTTTAATGTATTCCAGTTTGACCCTCAAGCGACACTGCTGCTGGAGAACACGCTAAGAAACAAATGCAGGCAATTGCTTTGACATAATTCTTTTGGACGCAGGCAGATCGAATGTGCTGATGTCAACAGAGACCAGAAAAGAGTTTTACCCAATCTCCTTTCCTCACTGAAGAAAAAAGCAAGAGAAAACAAAGCACAACCCAAACCCTAGCCAAACACATGCTTACCTCTCAGCAGCAAAACTATTACATGCTGTCTAAGAAAGGGACAACCAAGATGTTTCTAAAGTATCATTTGGATGTATACACAGCATTTCATTTATAACTTAAATTTACCTGACTTGTATATATAATTGGATCTTTGCACATAAAAGGCATGAAACATCTGTTCCATAGAGGATATTAATCTAAAACCCCACGAACTGTGTAATTCAGTCCTTTATGGTCATAGTACTTTCAACAGGGTTCCTAACATAGTACCCTCACCCTAAAGCATGCTGCTCTTCTTCCTTCTCTCCTACTCTTCTAACATTTAGGGGTTTACATGGACCTGCTTTCAGTATGATTGTCAGGATGAAACTTTCCTGCCTTGCCACTCATTTAAATGCTCAAGCTTTAGCAGCTCTGAGGTTGCATAGTTCGATATCAGAGAACATTGAGGCAACACTGACAGGGACTGCAAGAATAGAAACTGGGGATATTTTTTCCAAGGGAAAGATGAATTATGGTAGGAAAACATATCAAGGAAGCCACAATTACTATCTTGAAAATAAAAGATTAAACTAAAGATTTTCTTCTCTACCTGGTTGCTGTTGCTCCTGAAATAACTTCTATATTAAAGGAGAAGAGAAAAAGCCATACATCAATGGTAGAGTTTTTCAGAACTCATAAGGGAAAATACCAGTGTTGAATGTGTCTCATCCCTCAATTTTATACAATGAAAACAGAATGAAGAAACAGATCCCAAGCTTATTCCCTCCTCCCTCTTTTATCTCCTCTCCTAAGAAAGGCTTCCACCTCTGCTACTCACAACTTTCCTTTTCTTCCATTCCCCCAGCTCCCCATCAGTCCATGCAGACAGGTTGTCTGTAATGGTATCATGCAAAAACCAGACAAGATCCTCAAGGCTTCCCCTTTCTGTGTGCCTAGAGTGCTTCCAAGAAGAGAAAGTCTTGTGAAGAAATGGATTCTCACTTCCCTTTTCAGCAGCTACTTGTGTGGGTCACTCTACTACAATAAGTCCACATCTGCTATCTGACCACAATGAAGAGAAAGATAAAAATTACCACTTTTAGTGTCCATAAGAATCATGGTCTCTGAGAGAAGAGTGATCATGTGTTACAGCCACTGAAACTACTTGACCTAGAACATCAAACCACCCTACACAAAGGAAAAAAAAAGACTTTTGTCCTTCATCTCCCACCCTTTATGTGACCTGCTCCCAAAATGTGACCACAAAGTGTGGTCCACAGTTTGGCTGACCATCAGAGGCTGCAGGACCTTTTCAGCTATGTGGGGACCTGCGTAAACGTTGTGATGTTCAGGGAATAAGAGTTTTAAGACCACCAATCATCAGGAATTATCAAACACTTTAGTCCCTGGAGCACGTGGTGTCCCGCTCCTTGCGGAATCTTCCAGAAAGAAAACTTTGGGGTCATGGCTCTAGAGAGTCAGAGGACAAAGGCTGATCAAAAATACCACTGAACTTCCTAAGGAATTCCTTGAATTTCTCATGCTGTCATGTTATATTTTTTTAAAGCATTTGTCAAGATGCAAAAGTATGGTTGAAACATTTTTCTGATACTAGGAATGAGAAGAAGCCTTTAACCAAAATAAAAAGTTTACTATCTATCACAACTTCTGTAAGGTCTTTGATACAGTCCTATACAACATCTTTGTCTCTAAATTAGAGACATATGGATTTGATGGATGGGCTATTCGATGGATAAGGAATTGGCTGGATGGCCATATATCCAAAGAGTTGCAGTCAATGGCTCAATGTCCAAATGGAGATCAGTAACAAGTGGTGTCCCTCAGGGGTCCATATTGGGACTGGTACTGTTCAATATCTTTATTAATGACATAGACAGTGGGATTGAGTGCACCCTTACCAAGTCTGCAGATGACACCAAGCTGAGCGGTGCAGCTGGTCCACTTGAGAGAAGGGATGCCATCCACAGGGACTTTGACAGGCTTGAGGAGTGGACCCCTGTGAACCTCACGAGGTTCAACAAGGCCAAGTGGTTGAGTCAACACCCCTGGAGGTATTCAAAAAGCACGCAGACAAGGCACTTCAGAACATGG